TGAATTCCAACTTATACATTGTTAATAACATAATTTTATATACGTGCCTATCTTGCCCCATTACTGTTGCCCCTATACCAGGGGCAACTTTAATAAAAATAATTAAAATAATTACAACTTTACAAAAAGAGAGAAGTTGCCGATCTTGCCCCTATACCCGGGGCAACTTCGTCAATTTCTCTCTTCTTGTAAAGTTGTAATTATTTTAATTATTTTTATTTCCAAACTGATTTTAACCAGTTCTATAGTAAGGCAACATTCCAATAGACAATATGCAAAGCTTTTTTTTCAGTTTACAACAGTATTTATTACACAAAATTTAAGTAAAGGTTAACATGCCGATCTTGCCCCGGTCTCCCCTATATATAACAACCGGGAAAGTAAAATGTTCAGATGCAGATAATTTATTAATTTTATTCCACAATAAAGAATTATTTTTAAAATTTTACGGCTGTGTAGAATAAAGTTGTTTTGTGCATATATTTGTATCTTTGTCTCTTTATTAAGGCATGTTGGCGTGGGACTTGATGGATTTTTTGCAGGGCAATATGTCGAAAACGCCTAATATTACGATCCTTTTGATTATACATTTTCGTGAAGTTTGATGAAGTTTTGTACAACCGTCATCAATCATCCTGTATACTGTATTTTTATTAGATTACTCTTTAGTATACTGGCATGTATACCATTATTTAGTATACAACAGTGTGATAATTAATCAATTAAGAGATCAGCTTAATGTTCTGGGAATCTTGGATCAAATTCGGGTGAGCATCCAAAGAAACTTATAAAGAGGAGTAAGTCTCGAATACGTCGATATCTATTTTTTATTATATGGTTGCTCCAATCGTGAGCCTGGCCAACCCTCGATGGATAAGAAGAAAGAAGTGACAAGAGGGCGGACAGCGCCGAAAATATTTTTGTTTTTTTGTTTGTACTTTCAGATTGGTTAGGGAGATATTAAGAAAATGGGCCATATCTGCCGAACCAATAGTCCGATTTTCCTGAAAATTTCTAGAAACATTTTCACTTAACACACAAACATTTGTGCAAATTTTCAGAAATTTTAGATAAAAGACACAGGAGTTAATAAACTTCAAATTGGATGAAAAAATCATGTCCCAACACACACACATACACACACACACATACATACATACATACAGAAAATAACTCCAATGTTTTTGCATTTATCGACGTGTAAAGATCTCCGAGTCCAAAAATCTTAAGAGGCATTTCCCCTCTGTTTTAGAACAGTCGGAAAAGTAAAATTATCCGTCACCTTTGTTACTTTAAAGTATTTATAAATAAACTATACATTTAGTTCTTTTATTTATTTATAATTCATCAATACAGCTATGAAAATGCGTAATTATTGAAGAAACTAACGAGAGAACTGGAATAAAGTTAATAATTGACTTTAATTTTCCGAATATTTACATTTAATTGGATTGTATTCCTCAGCCGATTAAGTTGTTATCTAAATTTGTGAAGATGTTATTCTGTTTTTCTTTTTATACTTAAACATAAGCTGTTAAATGATATATTCTGATATCGATTCTTTTTTTCCTGTGTTCAGCTAATAGAATTCGAGAAACAGATCCAAAATACTTATTTATTAATTAGCTCGCTAAGCAGAAAATTTAGCGTAGTTAATAGGCATGTATTGATAAGAATTTAATACAGTCAATATAAGAAAACAGTTGATACAAGCAATTAAAGTAGCATATATTTTATTACTTAGTTTATTAATAACTAATAAAATATATTTAATAATAGCACATTTTACGAGGTATATATATGACGAATGATATACACAGTTAATATTTATAGTTACAAACAAGTGTACAATATTTTGTGGCTATAATTACTCATAATTGAGGATAATGAAAATACACTTTTAATACATCTTTCAGCAGGAGACTACAAATTTATTAATTCAAGAAATAAGTTATAACGATATCATCGTGAAGATAGTTAAGTTACCACGTATATTTGTATTCGCTCATTTTTTAAAGCAAAACATTTATGATAATTTGATTCTTTAAAATTTTTTATAGAAATGAAAGACAAAGTCGCTCTAAAAATTTTTAGACGATTACCACTTTATTCTCTTTAGTGTTCCAGAACAACCATAGACAGTCTTGGCCTCTTTATGCTCTCTGAGCGGTAAGGGGCCTAAAACCACAAAAAAAAACACATAGACAGCCAGACCTTCCTTTTTAACAGCCGCCCACTGTTAAAAAAGTTCCTTTAAAAAGCACAGAAACCAATAAAAATCTTTAAAATTGTTATTTAACATTAAATTATCCTTGATTTTCTTACAAATTTGAATTTTCTTGTAAAACTGTTGTAAGTTTTTTCATTATTCTTCTACAGTAATGTCTTCCACTATTATTATTAACAGTTATAGGACTATAGGACAGGTTTAAATATGAAACAGTGCTTTTAAAAGCATTGCTTCATATTATTAATGCAAAATAATAATAATAATACAGTTGAAAAGGTGTTGCAGCTACATTCCAGGTTCATTATTTTAAGTTTTAAGGAAGTGTTGAATACACCAAAGTATACCTGGGTTTTTACACAATTTTTCCCTGCTTAGAATCCCAGTACAACAACATGTTTACAACATGGGATTATAACACCATGATACAACATCCAGTATACAGTAATAACACAAGAGCAAAATTTTCTGTAAAAAGCCAGTATAACAACTACGAATTTTTTATTACATGGGTTATGTGTAATGCTTAATTGGTTTATTCTCGAAGACAGTGTTTCCGGTTTATATTATTATTTTATATAGAAAATGGTTCTGTTACCAGATTGATTTAGGCATGCTTCCATTGTACTACAGTTTTAATTTACAACGATAATTCTGTTAAATACTTTTAAGCGGGATTATTTCGGAGGAGCGGTTTCGAGCCATATCTGATATTTTTCGAGTTAATAATTCGATGCCAAAACACAAAAAGGATACTGCGTAACCAAATAATAGAAGTATCAAAACGCTTGAGAAATCTTCGATACTCAATGGTCGGATTTCGGAATCAACTTTTACGTTATCATTTTCTGTTAATTTTTCAACTTCGTTGATGATACCAGCTTCAAACAATCGAGATACACTACGCACGAACACGGTTTTCGTAAATATGCGCAATATAACATAGATAATGGAAAACAAGAACGCTACTCACGTCTCATGGATCTTGTCTTTCAATGGAAATTCTTTCCTCATTACGTACGAAGAACTATATGTGAAAAGAACATCCTTGGAGATTAAAACGTTCTCCATTCTGTACTCGTCAATAAGTTTTCTCAACAAGTGACGACTTTGTATGAAAGCAAATCCTTTGTTTTGCAGTAACTTGTTTATTTCATTTTTATCCAATAAAAACTTGGTAGAACGTATATATTCTCCAATTATTTTTCCGCTTTCAGATTTCGAATTCTGAAAACACGTATATTAATTAATTATGCAACACATTAAATTAATTTTATACTTAATTCTTTATGATGTATTACCAGTATATATCGTGAACCGCTCTTAACTGTACCGCATGTATATTTCCCGGATTTTATTTCAGTAGCCAATTCGTCAAATGTAGTAGGTATACGTTCGTACAAATGATAAGTGAGGAAAGATATTAAAGTGCTAGCATAGCCCGATGCTAAGGCTACCATTACCATAAGCCAGATTCCAATAGATAATCTGGATGAGAAACGTTTGACAGAATCCAAGTTTCCACCTTAAACAATGATATATTACACGTAAAAGAATTCATCCCTTTTATCAATATGTTAATAGACTAACGAATAATTAATTATACTTACCTTGATTAACAAACGAACCACATATAAACCAATAAACTTCTGTAAACGTCCAAACCCTTCCGATGTGTTTTAGATAATAACTAAATTTTATGATATGATACAATGTAAATCCAAATATAATGATTGAAGTAAGCATTCCCAGCCAGAGCTAATAAATAGTAAAATTTTAAAGAATTTTTCTTTTTATATGCGTACAGTATTTAATTTAATACATTTAATTATATTGGGCTGACTCAATAATGCATATAATTAATATTTTTATCGGAATTTATAAACAGAAGTTTAATGTTAAGTAATGAAATCATAAAAGTAAAACACTGTTTTAAAAATATGAATCAGTAAAAACAGCAAAACCTGTTCAAAATGGAAAAAGTTTTTGATACCGTGCGAGTCCGGTTTACACAGATTTTACTGTACACGCTATTTGAGTATTCCGCTTTTATGCTTTCGTTTTTTTAAACTCTTGTTTTAAATAATACATTTAAAAAACGATTTAAAATAAATTTCTTCCATTATTTATACAGTAAGACATGAAAAATACTCACTTCTAAAGTAAAAGGTTTAAAAATGGAATTCCAATTGAATCCTTTCTCTCCTCTTCTTACGATGAATTGAATGGGGTGAAACACAATACTTGGAGAAAACTCCACGACTTTGTATCGTTTGGGTGTAAAATAAAATGGTGCAAAACTGAGATCTGCTTCCTTTCGTAGTGTTTTGAAAATAAAATACAATATACAATTATATATACACTTGATAACTTAGAAACACTCACCCTTAACTACTTCCAAATGTGACATAAGTATTAGAATGTTTGCATAGATGCTTGTTTATTTAATAAACACTCACAATTATTATACAGTTGTTTATATAGAGTTAACTTGTAAAATATAATAAGTGTAACAAATTATAAATACTTTTCAACCACGCATAAAGGTCATCAATTTACAATGTATAGAAATAACGTAATATAATAATTTTATATTAAAATATATTTAAAAAATAAATTTCTCTTCATTTACTGTTGTCAAATGTACACTTTCGATTGATAATTAAAATCTAATTAAAATTTCGATGATAATTAAAATCTGAATATCGTTACGTTTATGACATATAAACTTAATTTAAGTGAAAACTAAGCATTTGATGAAGACTTAAATTTTGTCATTTATGTTGCAATGTACACCAATTGAAAATATAATATAATTTATTAATTACTGAATAAATATTATATATAATTTCAGCGAAGCATGAAAATCCGAACTAATTTAAGCTGGATTTTAAAATCTATGCGTAAATTAGCAATATAAGTACTGTAAATTCAAAATACACTAAGTTTAAGTGTTATAAGCTCAAGCCAGTATTTCGTAAACAATGTAGGAATAATTAAAAAGATTCAAAATATAATTTACAGAATTACTGTATTTAAAAAAATCCGGTAATCGTAATTTAAAAACTTAAAAAGTATGAATGAATTTTAGAACATTAACAAAACGAGACCGAAGGAACATAAAGAACGACGTTACCAATGAAAATATTAATATTCATTTTTCGATTGCGGAATCCGGAATTTTGACAAATGATTTTCGAAAATGCAATAGAATAGAATAATTGTTTAAATTATCTAGATGTAATAATAATTAAAAAAGAAAATAAGTTAGATTATAAGCGGAATTACACACTATATACCCCTTTTCTGTAAAGTAACATATGTACTGTACACATATTCTTCTATCTGAAGTGCTTCTATTCTGTATAAAGTAAGTAATTAACTAACTTACATTTCTTATTAACTGTCCAATACATCCTGACCACGTTTCATTTGGGTAGAGTTTTCCAGCGACGTTCATAATTGGTTTAACTAGGATATATCTGAAAGTTTCAAACGTAAAATCTTATATATATACTTAAATCATATGCTAGGAGTGCAAAATTAAGTAGGCCTATACACTTGTTATGAAAAAACATTTATTTTTATGCATAAATTAAATCACAGATAAAGAACATGAGGAAGTAATAATGAACATCAAATATGTATTTCTAAGATTCATAACTGTATACCTAATTTTGCACCCTTCCGTATACCATATTATATCATACATAAAAATCCTAGCCAACTTAAGACGTGATTTGATTTTATAAGTCAAAAATTTATTTTTTATTGTTTTGTGAAAGCTAGATACTCTAGAATGTCATTACTTCTTCAAAAACTTCGTAAAAATATAAAATTAATATTCCTGTGCAAATTTCAAATGTTCTTTGTGTTTCAATGGATCATATTATCCATCATCGCTCAAAATTTATGCGCAAATAGCCCATCGACTTGTTGGGCAAATCTGCTAAAGTAAGTAAGGATGGATTGAATCGGTATCACGACTATTAATTGAAATGTCATAGACATTTCAAAATATATCGTCAAACAATCCATTTCACCCTAAAGTAAGAGGGAAGTGGATCATACTGAAT